TGGTCTGAAGTCGATCTTCAGGGCTGCTTCGACGGCTTCGGCAAATTCGTCTTCCATCCCCATGATTGACAAAGTGTCTAATGAGTCGACTAACGTGGCTCCCCAGCCACCAAACTGGGTATCTCGAGGCTGACCCGACACGGGTGCGAGTTCATCTTTCATCCATGCGCGTTCTTTGTAAGACTTCCAGCATCTTTGAAAGGTCTCCTTGACAGCTGCTCGTCGACCAGCAATCGCTTCGGCATCTGGCGACATTGGGTGAGGAAACCTTTGCAAAGTGTTCCTAGACAAAGGCTTTTGTGAAGATAGCTGCGCATAATCATGGACTGGGTGTCGACTCGGTATCGCTCTCCAGTTGAAGCGATCTCCAGTATTTGGAGTTATTGCTGGCATGGGTGGTCTTGTTGGACACGCATGTGAGCTCGGAGCATGTTCATGGTGGTCTGATGGGAAGATGGATGCCCTGGAAGGTGCGAACTGAGTCGAGAAAGAGGTGATAATTGCAAGAAAGACAACAGCGACTAGAAGCATAAAGCTCCATCTCCATTTCCTGAGAAACATCGTTGATTTCTCATAGGTGCAGGTACGAGAACTTGACGCGAAACTCATGGAGGGAGGGAGAGGAGTTCAGTAGAAACTGGACGCGCGCGGCGTCTTGTCGTGCGCCGTCGGCAGGCCACAATGAATGCCTACCTGCCGCAGATGCCATTGGGTGCGGCCTTTGGCCCTTGTATCAGTGCTTGGGCTGTTTTTGGAACCAGGCGCTACGGCGTGTAAGATGCCCGTGCCGCGAACTTCTTGGAGGCTTCATTACATCCCACGACATTAGCAAAAGATATCGAACGCCTATCTGCCCTACAGACTAGAGGGCGTTCGATTTCCCACTCTGGTCGCGTGGCAGCTTACAGAACCCGTGTTAGTATTAGGATTGATTCGAGTCAAAGCGCCATGGCGCAGGAGACACATCTCGCCTGCGCCGCAAACGGGCTGGGGGCTAAATCCATCCCCAATGACATGCGAATCCGACTCCTCCATCAAAAGACGCTAGCGTTTCCGATGAGCATATCGCGTTATTTCGAGGCGGCTGGAGAAATATGTAAGTATGTGGCAACGCAAAAAGCCACATGATAGATGTATCGCCTGCCTCGAAGCCATAAAGGTGTGCTGTGCTGCATGCAGCGCGCAGCTGTCTGCAGAACCGGGTCGCAACAGATGCGCTCATTGGTTGGAGGCTTTCTATCACGATTCCCCCACGCTTTTGCAGGCAAAATCGAACGCCCTGTAATGTGTGCGGTGGATGGGCGCTCAAGTTTGCCTGCTGATGGCGTGCTCTAGCTATGCAAAGCTGAATGCGGGTTCCCTTATATGCGCCGCCAGCTTTCCATACAGATGTAAGGCATTTCCTTGATGGTGACCAGAGCCAGTATAAATAGGTAATCGCAGCGCGGAGAAGAAGCGTCTTTGTAAAAGACTGACGTGCCAACACAAGAGACCCTGTGTACTCATACTCACTCTCGGCGAAGATGGCTGCCTGTTCAGCCTTGTTCTATCTGTATACTATCCTAATATGCGGAGCATGGTGTCAGACCATACAAGATGACTGGACAGCGCCCGCGACCCCCGACGGGTCTACGAGCTTGCAAAGCGGCGCACCGTTCACTATACGCTGGAAGCCCGAGCTTCAAGATGCGTTCGGAACGTACTGTATTTCTTGCAATGTGAAGAAACTCGATCTTTGGGTTACGAGCTTTCTGAGTCAGAGCTACAAGTTCAAAATCGCTGGTAAGTGATGCCTCCAGATCCTGAATTGTGTTGCATTGCAGTGACTAAGTCGATGCTTAATGTAGGAAGTGTGGATATAACCGTCACCTCATCATTCTTGTGGGACGTCAACATACCTTCTTCAGCACTGACAGCGAACAATTACTGGGTGCTACGTTTCACACCCGCTGGAGCAGAAGATCCGTTCGTCGAACAGGTATCGTCGTCGGGCTTCCGTATTAGCGGCCCGCCTGAACCATCTACCATCGTGAATACAGTCACAGCTAAGCCGAGCAGTGAGTGAAGAACAGCCCGGGCAAAGTACCGAGCTAAAGCGGAGTGTAGGTACTTCAAGTTCCGCAATCGGGTCTCCGACCACTTCGAGCAACACAAATGTAATCGCAACCCCACCTCCAACGGCAACAGACGTGCCATCAGCTCAAGCTTCAGATTCTCCGGATAAGAGTTGGATCGCTGGTGCCGTTGTGGGACCGGTCGTTGGAATCGCAATAGGTGTGATACTATCGTGGTTCTTGCTGAGAAGGAAACGCAAGAACAACAGCGCGCAACAAGCTGAAGCAGGTTTTGGACAGAACAAATATTCTCAACCTACAATTCCCACACACCAGGATGGATATGCGAACTTTGCGCAGACGGTTGCGCGCCCTACGCCGTCAACGCATGTTTCCGAAATGGCTGGCGACTGGCAACATCGAGCAGAAGGACAAGGTCAAAGTCCTACAGAGATGTTCGACACTACTTTGGATCGCAACCGCGCAGAGCTGTGGCAGGGCAACTATCAGCCTAAACCTAGTTCTTCTTAATGTCTGATTGTCATATCGTGTTCAAAGTTGTTCCAGGATGTACCAATCTCACCTGCAACTTTAATTAGCCGCACTGTCCTTGCATCTTCCAGGCATACTAAGTAGCCCCGATCTTAGTCGTATACCAACTCTTGCCTACCTTCTCCCCAGTCTGTGTTTCTAGTGACATTGAGCTCGAGAGAGTAAGACCCAAGAACAACGCATCTCGACAGCCTGGCTTTCGGGTGCACGAACTACCATGACTCGTAGAACATTCCGCGTTTTTGGATCGTGCTGGCCGCGATCTGTGAATTTCAAAGCGACGTAAGCAGACAGCACAATCTCCGGAGTGTTCTCATGACTCCAAGATGTGCCATATTATTGGCGTTGCGATATTGAGATCCAGCATTCGCCCTTTATCCCTGGTGTCTTTAAAATCTGGCAACGCTTCATTGCACGGGTGCAGCCCCTAAACGGATACGCCTGTCTCTCGCATCTTTCGCGCATTCCAGCTCAGCGAGCTCAGGGATCCAAACTATTCCAAAACGTTGAAAGGCCGCATGCAGCTATGGGAAATATTGCAAGCAATGCAAACCCAGACGCTACTTACAGCTGGTGCTGTCATCACTGTATGCTGCCTTTACGGTACGCATCGAGGCTTGCTAATCTTTCTAGGTGATAAAATATGGTCGTTCGCACGCGCCGGAAACAAATGCCCAAACTGTGGGCATCGGAAGTGTTGGAGAAGGTGCGCCGTCATGGGCCTCGCGAGGACGGATGAACTTTGGATGGACAGAACTGGATCGAAGAGGTTGAGCAAACGGACGAGGTCGCTCGTCGTGGAGAACTTTTGACTCTCTTGCCTTTTTGGCACGATGGCGAGGGGTGGCACTTGCAGTGGGCATGAAGGTGGCTGGGTGCTGCGCTTGTGCCTTCCACATCAGTGATGACGTCATCGGCGCCGCTAGTCACGGAGGCACTCCCGAGGTCCTCTGCATCTGGCATCCACGACCTGCACATGTACCTAGGAGCATCGGATTGATCGCAAGCCTTCCAGCATGACAATATTTCTCATATCGGGCATGTTTTTTGGCGTGCTCGTCTCATTCGGGTACCGCCTGACGCCATTGCTGTTTAGCCCAAGAAGAGTCACTCTGGCATTTTCCCCAGCCTCACTTCGCATGGGGGAGGTCGTGCTAGCGATCCTGTCAATGATAGCAAAGTCAATTCTCTACGCAATTCCCGGGTTTCCGCGCATCAAGCTTTCCGCATTAGAGCTTGACTCTCCATTCACTCTAGACGCAGACGATATTGTTCAGTATCAATCAGCAGTTGGAGGAACAAGCAACACAAGAGAAGAGCTCTCAGCACCGCAACTCATGCTTTTCCTTTCAGCCATGACCGAGCCAGCAATGCTACTTCTACTTGCCAGTCCCTGGTGTCCCATCAATCCACTAGGCGCAGTCAACGTGTGCAATAGGTTCGAGATATTACGCCCCGACCTATGCGACTTGTCGAGACTCGTGGATCTACGAACAGCCCGTCTGAAGGCGATTGCAAGTAACCACCCAAGACCAGCAAAACGAGGCATCGAGTGGGATCTGGAGGTCGTGATCACCACTCCGACTGGTAGGAAGGATGGAACTATGGATATCATCTTTCGCCAGATCTTCACCATGCTAGAATTAAGAAAGTCACAGTCCAAGAAAATCCTGAACAGTTCACATGAGACCAGGTCTAGCATGGCGATACCACAGATGTCTGAGAGCACCACACAGGTATCGATGTCAGTCGACGACCCGCTGAAATGGGCTGCGATTTGCAAGGACTACAACTTCATCCACCTATCGGGAGCGGCGGCGAAGGCCTTTGGTCTACCTGGAAAGATTGCGCATGGAAATCACACAGTCGCTAAAGCTCTAAATCTACTGACTGACTCGAAAGGCTTGCGGCCACCGTTCACCACTTCCTCATGGATGGAGGTGCAGTTCAGAAGGCCTATGGTTGTACCCGGTGTCTTCGATGTCAGTTTACGCGAGTCTAGCCAACCTAGCAAGACGCTCTCAGTTTCTTTTCAGGGAAAAGACTGCGCGATTGCGGAGTTCGGGAGCCTTCAGCAATGAACATACCGAGATAGTACTCGGCTACCGTCTGGGACCGTTCTTGAAATGATGTGTCAACTAGGGGTGGCTACAATTTGTGTCACATTCTCCGAGGATATCATTTGGCTCTCCGAGAAGTATACCTTATCTTGGGGATTACTAACTTATTAAGATTGAGATGTATGTAAGCGGCAAAGTGCTTCATGACTTCTATCAACCCATGGTGGGGGAAATCTTGCATGAGAAAGCATTTATAAGTCGACATGATGTTACATTTTTGGTCGACTTCAAATAGCTTCAACAACCCGTTGTTCCACTGTCTCCATCAGTGCAGTCAGAGCACGCTGATCCTCCTCCTGAAGGTCTGTCTCTTGCCTACGCTGAGCTTCTTCTTCAAGTTCAGGCTCGTAGACGTCCCACCGAATGGCTCGAATCCCGGTGGCTTGCGACAGTCAAGGGAGTAGTAAGCATTCATGGGGTGATTGGACCGCATGTTGTAGCGGCTATCGAAGGGATAATCCTGCGAATAGCCCGACTTGAAGTACCGAAGACGTTGGAGGCCAACTCGGAAGCGTTCGAATAGATGATGCCAACGAATATCCGGTTCAACCTCCCGGTCAACTGCATAAGAAAGACCGAAGCTGTCAAACTCCTCGTCACCCTCATCATCGCCCTCATCATCACTCTTGTCGTCACCCTCGTCATCAATCCCGTCGTCACCCGCTTGTGGAAGTAGCTGAGGAAAGTTCGCTTTCATTCCCCTTTCGTACAAAAACAGATGACGAACAACACCGCAACCGCAGAGGAGTAGACTTTCCAGTGTAGCACCGTGCGCGACGATCCAATCGACCTGCCAGTCATGCGCGATGGTCCAATTGCCAAAACACAACGACTTGAGGTGTGGAAACGGTTCGACCTCTCGGAAGTCCGTGAAAGGCCAGACTCCCCAGAGGCAGTCGCAATCGAGTGTGAGACTAGATAATTGTTTATAAACTCAGAATACGGCTCACATATAGCTCGAAGGTCGTGCAGGAAGACTTACCGTGTGAGTTGGTTGGTGGTAGGCTTCAACCAGTACTTTGGGAGAAAACGTCTCAGACCATTGTGCGCCGCGTCTGCCCAGGTTTCCCGTCCCTCTTGTGGATTCACGTGGTATCTCAGGATTCTCAGTTGCAGTTCTGTCAAACGCTCTCTCACGGCCAGGAAACCTTTAGATTCCATAATATTCCGAGGCATTGCATCTTGCAAGTTCTGGATCGTAAGACTTTCGAAGCTCTCGCTCTGCGCTAAAGCCTGGAAGCAAAGGTCCTGGATCTCCGCCCGGAAAGATTCACTCTCTTCAACCTCCACCATGTTCTCTCTGTATCTGGTCATGATATAATCGTCTACGGTACAAACGCTCGAGAACTTTAGCTCTACTCGCTTTAATCCCTCCAGCTGTGCAAGTTTTGCGATGGCGTCGGCGAAGGTAGAGAGAATGTCGGGGTACCCCTCCACTTCCTCATCGGGATGGTCAGAAGTATTGATGATGGCCTGACGTACATGCTTTCGTAAAGAGGAATGGAAGATATTCAAGAATCTTTCTGGGCTGTTTTCGACGTTCGTGAAGGATACTGTGCGGAAGAGACTCTCGGAAGCTAATTCGTGGAATCCTTTGCTTACCAGGCGAAGGGCCTTGAGTGTCGCCAAATCGTCGGAAAGAAAATCGATGCAACTCCGTTGGAGTTCGACGGGTAGTTGGAGCATTGCGCTTGCCTATCTGGGTGAGCAGCAAGTGTTTTGGCTATAACCATGGTGGACGCGAGTGGCCCTTTTGTACCTAGGTAATTACCTGGGCGCAGCCCAACACGTCATTTCGCCTTGCATGAAGCTGCAGCATTCGATAAGAGGTACATATCGCTACAGCCCAATTCAGGTATAATGTGAGTCATCTGTCAGGCGTGCAAGTCTAAGGATCTTGGTTGCCTAATTATACGGTTGGGACCACGCTAGAGCCTTATAGGTATACCTGCAGGCTATATCGCCTTTTCTTCTCGAGTTATGAGGGACACCACTTTCTCTTCACGACACTACTACCACTTCTAGCCTCTCTTAATGAACACTTTCCAGACTTTACCGATCACAATCCGTGAGCAGATTTATCACGAGCTCTTGACCTACACTCCAGCTGGATACAACGATCCGTATCATTCAGATGCCGAGACGGGAAGTGTGGCTCGAATAACCCGCCGCTTAGATGTACCTCCCCAGGCGTCTGCACCCTCATCGCCATTATGTAAGCTGCTTACATTGAGCCGACAAATCAACGCAGAGATCTTCCAGTTTTTAAGACGTCAACTGTGCGTGGTTGTTAAGAGTAATCACCCATGGTTTCTTCGGAGCATATTCGACAAAACAATACCCGCGCTACCCGGGTGTCCAAGGTATTCCAGCGGCCGCCGGGTGGATTGCCCGCGCGTACCACTTATCTCACAACTGCAATCCTGCGATGAGATTGTTAAGAAGGAGTTTTCAGGTTTTCCTGTGGCAATGGAACTCGAATTTCACACGACCGGCAACCGCAACCCCAATCCTATGGAGAATACATCGTGTTTCTTGCTGCCAGCCTCGAGCCTGCCGATCTTGATCCGTATTGGCAAAGGTCATCAAAATCGGTGAGTAATCGCAGTTCTCATTATACTATGAAGGCGGATCTTAACTTGCGTCAGGTCTGGAAGCACTTCCCTATATGTGTCGCTTTTTGAGACGTTCTCACACACGCTTGAACGAGCCCAAGAGATCCTCATTGAACCTCTGCTGCTTCCCATTTCGAAGGCCCGCCTTAGATTTCACATTGTGAGCACCAATGACATGATCACTTCTCCATGGACCATGAAGTTAAGAGAGCATTTGATGAAAGAGCGGCCTGTTATTGATTGCCTTGAGCATCTGGACGATATCAAGCATACTCGTATGGCCTATGCATATCTTTTCGACGAAATACGCAACGACACATCGAGAGACGGGATTCTTGAATTATGGCTCTGGACTTGCGGCATCGCTGCAGGGGAAATACAAGCCCTCTGCCATCGCGCAGGTATATTGGAGTCGAAAGAGGAAGACCCAGCTGGTTCATCCGACAGTGTGGCATTGCTCCAGAAAGCGCGCAAGGATGCTGAAGAGATGATCAGTTTCTTATCTGATCAGCCCATGTGTGCGCAAGAAGCGTCGCTAACTTCAAAAACATGGCAGCTTGAAGTTGGCAAGCTCAAATCTCTGTTGAGCTTCAGGACACATGTCGTTTGCAAAGCCCTTGGGGATATAGACGCCGCCATTGGATACCTCAAGGAAGCGATCAAGCATGACCCTAACTGTGCAGAGAACCCAGAGGACCGACCCCCAAAGTGGGTCTTTGGTGTTGGTAGCTGGACAAATCCTCGGTCTGTCTACACTCGTGGAATAACACTCAGTAGGGTATACCTCGTAGAGAACCCAGTAGAGATGCTGGACAACCTGAAAGCCGAGCGTGGAACAAGCAGCGAAGAGGACGCCTCCAGAGTGGTACGATGGGAGGTCCGTATGTAAAGACGTTTCAGAATCACATCATTACGGGTTGGGGTCCCCAATATATACAACCAAAGTACGCGAAAAGACCCCTCGGGCTCGAGCGCGAAAGACAGAGAATTACGGGTTGGGTGCAAATCGAAGAAAACGTACCGATATCTCGAATGGTCATAGCGGAGTCCGCAAGTGGCGCTAGCACCCCGCAAGATGCCTCAAGATGCCGAGGTCCATGCCATCTCTCCACCACAGCTCTGCCGGCATGGCTGAATCGACCTTGACGCGTCCGCGCATCTTTGTGCATATACACATACCTCCTTGAAGCTTGTCTAAAGTCGATCGACCTCACCTCTACACCCATTTCCACCTCAGCCACCCCACAACCCCAATCACACCACCACCCACCATGACGCACGCCGCCTCCAAAGACGACCTGCGCGTCAGCACACTCTTCGACTACACCTCGCACGTCGTCCTCGTAACAGGCGGCGCCACCGGCCTGGGCGAAATGGCCGCGCAAGCCTTCATCCAAAACGGCGCGCGCGTCTTCATCGCGTCCCGCAAAGAATCCGAACTCGCCTCCACAACCACCCGCCTCAACGCCCTCGGCCCCGGAAAATGCTCCTACATCGTCGCGGACCTAAAAGACAAAGCCGGCTGCCTCGCCCTGTGCACGGAGCTGAAGAAGCAAACGGACCGCCTGACGGTGCTGGTGAACAACACGGGCGCGAGTTGGGGCGATGATTACTACAACTATCCGGAACATGCGTGGGATAAGCTGTATGCGTTGAATGTGAAGAGTATATTTTATATGACGGTGGAGTGTGAGGGGTTGTTGGCGAAGGGGGCGGATGCGCATAATCCTAGCAGGGTTATTAATATTGCTAGTATGGCGGGTATTACGACTGTGGATGTTACGACGGGCGAGGGTGGGGGGTTGAGTACTCCGGGGACTGGGACTTATAGCTGTGCGTTCCAATTACTGCCTTTACCAGACTGCTTTTTACTAACAAACTTTCTAGACGGCCCTGCAAAGGCAGCATGCATCCACCTCACCAAGATGCAAGCCTCGAAACTCGCTCCAAAGAATATCATGGTCAACGTCATCTGCCCAGGCGTTTTCCCCTCGCGCATGACGAACTTTGGGCTGGAGAAATTCGCAGATGCGTTGACGGCAGGACAGCCAACTGGCCGCATTGGCAAGCCGAGTGACTTTGGTGGGCTGGTCTTGTTCCTGAGTAGTAAAGCGAGTGCGCATATCACTGGCAACGCAGTAGAGATGGACGGCGGTGCTACCTTGACGGGCTGGAGAGGGAAGGTGGGTGGTAGTAGCGAGAGCAAGTTGTGAATAAAAGGCGACGGGTATCATATGATTAATTGACGGCTTGACTACATGCATTCATGTTGAGTATCCTTCCTTCACCTGCTCCACCAACGACCACCACATCTCCTACGAAAGCTGAGTAGCCAACTGGGTAACCTGATCCATGATTGCTTGATCCTCCCTGATGTTGTTCTCGATAACCTTGTCCCTCAAGTGTTCGACCTGCTGAGCCGGGTCCGTAGGCGGCTGGCCTCTTGCCGTCTGGATCCTCGAGATCTGCATCTCGAGGAAGAACTTAGGCGCCTTGATGATACCAAAGTTGCCTCCTGAGCTGCGCAGACCGGCCTCAGTGGCTAGATAAACGTTGAGCGCGTCCTGGAAAGCCTCGAGGTTGGAGTCGGCGAGCGGGACAGCGGTGAAGAAGGTACTGGTGGCGAATTCCATAGGTTTCTGGCCGGAGGCAGCGAAGTTGATCTTGGAGAAGGTTTGACCGCCTGAGGTCACGTCGGGGACGTTTTCGATTGTCTTTGTGTTGGCGTCGCAGGTGACCTTGTCTTGGATTTGTTGGACTACAGTGGCCGTCTCGCCTGGAAGGGCTTCGTTGCCGATGATGAAGCAGGCATTGCCTTGACGGGGTATGATATTGGCCGTAGGAGCAGCAATGACAAGGCCGCTGAGGAGCGTGAGGGCGGTGAAGGCGTGAGCGTACATCTTCGTTTTCGTTCTTGAAGGTTCCGTCTTGTATGTATACGACAAGAAATATATAACAGCGTTGAATGGGTATAGTGATAATCAACGGGGGTTCAATAAGAGTAAGGTAAAACACCCTAACCGGAGGGCAAGCAAAAGAACGGAACAGAGAACGTAAGTGTAAAGACTGACTGGAGCGAACGAAACCGACGAAAGATCGATACTCGAAAACCCACAACGGCGGCCACACCCTTCTCTTATATAAAAAACAACAACCACCATCGTGAGATCATACCCCCTCAGGCGCGTAAACGGCAATAAGGCACACCTCCCTGTATCACCAGTTCACGACCAAAACACTTCGCGACATTTCTGACAGGGCTGTCACGTCCACCTGGTAGGGGCCGACGCGACGTTTCTGGTTTGAGATGATCGATACCGTCTTCGCTTAGGCCCAAGGCGGCTGCCGAGCTCCGAGAACCTCTCTGTTTCTACCAATAGCAGGTGGGTCGCTATTGTGCATCGTGGAGTGGGGCCTGGTTTTTGGCGGACATGCGAAACGCGGTTTGGACGTTGGAGGGCATGCAGGATAGCTTCAGGAGCGTATGCAGGATGGGGTTCAGGAGGGTGAGAAGGAGGTGTTCAATGCCGCTTTGCCCGAGGTGAGGGGATTGAGGCGCAGGGCGGGCGGGTTTTTGCAGACATGTGGGCAAGCGATTGAAGCGCAGTCATGGACCGCGGTCATGCATACCAGTTGGGGTGTGGTGGAGGAGTCGGTACTGGTAACGGGAAACGGTTCTGGAAGGCTGGGTGACTGATCCGTACTAGCGCCATCATCACGGAGCCGGCACATCGGCACTGAACACCATAACAGCACACGTATAAGTCGGTAGTTCGATATTTTGATCCACGAAGGGAACATCGTAATCCACATACAAACAGCAGCAACACTGGTATCAACCGTATGCCCTGACACCAAGCCCTACTTGCTCTCCATCAATCCTAATCTCGAGCAAACGCCAATCCGAGAGTCCGTCTATGCATGTATAAAAGCGCCCCCGTCGCGTTTCCAATTCAATGCCCGCATGCGCCATGCTTTGTGCGTACTAGTTCCGAAGAAGAGTATGTAGAATAGACAAAGGAGAAACAGAAGCCGCTCAAGCGATGCTGGTATGACCATAAATCCACTTTTGAAATCCAGAATGCGAAGAAAGTAAGAGAAGAGAGGAGTTTGTGTGTTAGGCTGGTGAGGCCTCGAGATTATGTATAGGCCGTTCCACGTGTTCGGTAACAGGGTCTTTGCCCTTCATCGTTGGCTGGTCGTCGGACGTTCGTTGCGTCTCTTCGGCAATGTCGCTCATGTCAGACTCGCTGTCAGAGTCGGATTGTTCTATTCTAAAGGACTCGCGAAAGTTTGCTGGAGTGATCGTCTGAGACGATACGTGTCGCTGCTTTGTGGTGCCTGCCGACAATTTCCGAGGGCGAAACGGGTCATTGTCTTCGCTTCCTGGAGAAAGCGCAGCTTCCCGCTCATCGGCAGAGATCGCTTCGGCAGCCTCCTGTAGTTGTTTCTTCGCCGCCAAGCGCTCTTCGGCTGTGGTGTTGTGCCAGTCGGAGCCGAATTGGATCACAGATGCCTTCTTGCCATGGACTGTAAAACTGCCCTTGCCGCGCGCCAGTCCCTCGCTCTCGGTATTGTCGCTCGCGAGTGTGATTGTCGACGACGAGTCTCTGCTCTTGTGGCTGCGGCGGTGAGAAGAGCTGCCACGGGACTCTCGAAGAGTGCGCTGTAGACTTCTTCTTTGCTTTGTGTGAGACCTGGGCGATCCTGTCAAAGCAGCAAGGGATTGTTCGTAGTCAGAATCAATGACAGGCTCTGGTCGGGGGCTCTCTCCAGGTGTCGGCTCTGGTGACATGGGCTCCAAATCACCCGCCTCGCCTGGAGGCGGAGTCGCGTACCGAGACCCGTCCTCGGAGTCAGAGTCAGAATCGGAGCCTAAGGTGCCATCGCCAGTCGTCGATATTGAAGGCCTGTGATCGGAGGGATACATCCTCGGTGAATGTGCCGAAGAGCTCGCAAATGAACTTCGACGATCAGATGAGCCAGGGCCAAACATAGGCCCAGGTTGAAATTGGGCCGATGGATCCCTGGGGCTCGACTGCCGAGATGTCTCCGGTGGTGTCTTGAATGCTTCATCTCCACCGAATTCAGTCTCCCTAGAGGACTTGGTTCCTGGTCGGCCCGGTGAGGTGGGAGACAATGGAGCTTGCTTGTTTCCGCTGTTCATTGAGCTGGTCTTGGAAGTCAACCGCGCTAGTCCACTAACTTTTGACGCTCTGTGCGACAACTGTTGAGGCGAGACTTGCGGCTGTTGAATGAATTCCGAGGGCTGGTCATCTTGCGCTTGTTTATCTGCGAGGCCTTTTCTCTCGTCCTCCAATTCTTGAGCAAGTATGTCACGATGACATTTCATCCGCCAAATGTCGATACGGGTCCACTTAAGCTTGGCTGATAACCGACCGGCAGCGTGTATGACCAGTTCGCGAGTTTTGGGTTGAATGGGCGCAAGAATCTGGAGATGTCTTGCATCTCGTAAGCGTGCTTCCAACTCTTTGATAGCATTGGTGAGCTTGTCCTCGGACTCCGTAATGCGCACCTGCATGAGATCTTTCCTAGCGTTCATCATCTGTTGTGCAAACTGATTGTCGATCTTGCCACTTGTTATGGTGACTTCGCCAGTGGCCGTTGGTATCGTCTTTGTCGAGTGGGACGACTCCAGGCGCCGCATGCCACGATTCTTCTGGCCTTCGTACAGCCCACCAATCATGCCTCTTGACCGAACACCCAAAGTTTCAAACGCAGCAGTATAATTCAGCACACCCAGCCATTCATTCAAGTCCTTCTCGTTGTCGGCTAGGAATGTCTCCTCGCCTGCTTTCGAGAACATGACAAACGCATTCTTATGTTTCTTGTATGTGGCGTCGACAAGCGCAACCGCACCGTCCATCGGGATGATGTGGTCTTGCTTGAAGTCGGGTAGGGCAGGCTGGAATATGACCGGGCCTGTATCGCCGCGTTTGAGATGTTGCTCGTGCTGGCTCATCAAGTTCTTCGTCCAAGTAGAATTCCGGAATAGAGACAACCCCGATCGAGTGAGAACGGCACCCCATTCCTGCCATGGCGATCGGGCTTTCTTTTTTTTCGTGTCCTTTCTCCACAAAACTCCCACTTTTGTCACTGGCATTTCGACGATGCCAACCGAGGTGCCGAAGGGATTCTCTTGGGCGGCTTCAGACATGAAGGCTTCCGGTCTCGATCGCGAGGACACAATCTGTATCACGCCGTATTTGGAGAACAACTTGTAGATGTTCTTGGTGTCTAGCGTCGCGGTCGTGCCGGTGTAGTTGTACGGGTCGTCTAGTTGCATCACGTCTCGGATCGTGGGTCGAAGTGCGTCCAGCTTGCCTTCGAAGATTAATGTGTACGGATCGATGGGCTCCTTCGCGGCTTTCCGCGCCGGGTCGTTCATTGGTCCTTTCAGGACAGCGACTCTCTTGCTTTTCTTCGAGGTGATGTTCTTCAGATCAACCTCGTCTTCAATGTGAATGAATGGAGTGTAGACAATGTTGTCGTAAAAGCAGCCGAGGACGTCAGCCGAGACGCCATCGCAGGACGAGTTCTTGATGTAGTCGGGCCTTTGCATTTTCCGTTTGTTGTTCTTGTTGAAGACGTCTGTGTGAAGAATGATAATGGAGAAAGATATGAAGTAGGCTTTGTCTGTGTTGATGTAGATGCCGGGGTTGCATTCGTGATAGCGGTCGGCGAAACCCTGAAGGACACGGTCAATTTGTTGTGTCTCTTTGGGTAGTTCAACCTGCATGAGCAACTTGCGAATCGCCATGTCGATTGGGTCGCCAAAGAAGGCAAACTTCCGCATGTAGCTTCTAAGTACGGCAAGCAGGAAGGGGTCGTCGGTCTTGCTTAGGTAGCTGGCAACGACGCTCTTATCGAAGTTATTCGCCTCGATTCGTTCCAGGTACCGTCCAGGTGTCTCGCCTTCTTCACGCTCTGGTAGAATGAGTGTTTCCCGGCTGATGTTCATCGAGTTCTGGTGCGATGACAAGCCTGAGCTTCCTAGAAACCCGTGAGCAGGTGAACCATGCCGAGGTGAATGGGGCTCGGAGTTCTGACGAAATCTTGAACTCAAGCCAAACAGATTGCTGAAGCTGCTTCTTCCTGCCGTGGAGGTCGAAGTTCTTCCGCTGGGCCCGCCAGGTGGTGTTGGCGAGCCTGCGCCGTCGGACCGCCCGCCCAAAGATCCCATCGTGGATGAGCGCCCCCTAAGACCCATTCGTGCAGGACCATTGTTGTTTGGCGAGGAGCGGGCGGATCGGCTTGACCGGTACGAGTCGTTGCGAAAGAGAGTACCTGAACCGGGTGAGGCCAAATTCAGAGCACCAGCAGCAAGAGCAACTTGCGATGCAGAAGGGACTGGTGGCGTCTGTGTCCCAGGTTCTCCATAGTTGAGACGACGCGCGGTCAGGGGTGGGCTTTCGGTGATTGAATGATCGGTCGAGGCAGAACTCCTCGCGCCCGTAGACGCACGTGGTGTAGCAGGCGCCGTGTCGGGGAATTGCGGAGGCTCGATCTTCATAGGGAGTGGGAATAAGGATGCGCGCTGTTTTCGACGCCCAAAGCCAAATCGTGAAGAGCCAACGCGGGCCGGGTGCGAAGGCCGTGAGGTAGTTTCGAAAGAAATGTGTCCGCCGGAGCTTCCATCTGATCGTGACGACTCGGAGGCCCTGGTGGCAGGCGGCGCCAGCGAACTCGCGCTTTCCACAGACTCGCGCGAATCGGCAAGCACGTCCGGCCGGCGATGGCTGCTCGTCGACGCGCGCTCCTTCTCGTCCAAGAGGTCCCCAGTGCTCTTCTTGAAGCCTAGCGGCTTGCGCTTCTTGTCCATCGACTTTCGCAGTGTGGTCGGTTTCTCAAACGTCGTCGGGTCAAAGGAGCGCCTGCGCAGGGCGAATTGCTGCATCCTACTCCGCCTGGGCGCGATCTTGGCCTCGTCCTCGTGGTCTGCCACGGTCGGTGCAGTGGTGATGATGGCGGGCGCTATATGGCTATACGTCAGTACACACACCTCCGACCTTGAATACGCATACGTACGCGCAGGAGTGCCGGGCATGCGAGGAACGGGCGGTGCATCGTCGTCCCTTGCGGCGTGTTCCTTTGCCTTGGCAGAGAGCTGGGGGTCCGAGGCATGGCGGAAGCGCATCAGACTGAAGCGCTTGGTGTTGGGCGTGTGTTCCTGTACGGGCGGAGAAGGCGGGGAGTCGTCATCATCATCATGGCCGGTCGAGGGCCGCGCCGTGTCGGTGGACGTGGGGCGGAAGCCATCCTCAGAGGCGGCAATGCGGCTCGTGTCGAGGTTCTCTTGCGACCTGTCGAAGCGCGTGTCCTTGTCGGCGCGCCGGTGGAAGAAGCCGGCAGGGTCGAGGGTGCTCCGTCGCTTGAGGTCTCGTTCGCTGCGGCCGGGGCGGAGGGAGCGCAGAGGCATGGCTGCTCGCGCCGACTAGCAGCTCATGAAGGCAGATACGGGGTCACGGTGCGGTACATGGCACAGCGGAGAGGGGCAGTGAAGGGCGTGTCGGGGTCTCTTAGGATGGCTCGGATGCGGCACGCCTGTAAGGCTGAGGGAGTGCTGCTAGGATTAGTCGGGGAGGTGAGATCAGATATCGATGGCGTGGACCCGGCACGGCGTCAGACACGTAGTGGGAATAACAGTCTCGGGCTGTATAGGGGGAAGATAGCAGGTCGCAGGCCTTAGGGTAGCAGATCAGCTGTCACCAAGGCACTGACGAGCGCACTGGTCCTCTCTGCTGTGCAGTGGAGGCCTCCTAGCGCTCGCTGGCGTAAACCTTGGCCTGGCCGCGCGCCTCTGGAGCTGCACAAGCCACACCACTCCCACGTTTCTTCCAAGCATCGCCAGGCACACGACACCTTCTCCACCCCTTCCCGGCGCTTGCTGGCCACAACCGCATCGCATACTCGGCCTCCGCCCGTTTGCCTGCCCACCGCCAGAATGCGCCAGCCCGTTTGCGCGCTGCTGAGCCTGCTGCTCCTCGCGCCCTCGCTCGCGGCCGCCGCCCCGCACGATGCAGCGCCGTCCCCGTACGATGCAGGAACATTTGCTACGACCCACAATGCGCCGCCGCGACCATGGCGCAGGCTCTCCGACGCGATAATCCGCCGGATATGGAAGTTGCCAGAGGACCAGAAGAGTCTGAACGGGGAAAACACGCAGACTGTTGTCGATGCGCTGGGTGACAAGCTGGTCGCGCAGTACAGTGAAGATGTCGTCTTGCGGTTCAAGATACGCACGGCGGAGGAGGCCTCGGCGCTGGCGGATGCAGCAGACGTCCTCTTCCTCGACGTCTGGGAGTTCAATGAGGACTGGGCAGACGTGCGCGTGTCCAAGGACGTCGTGCCTTCCCTGCTCGGGCTGCTGCCTCCGTCGCTCAAGGACGCCCACGAACCGCTCCTCCAAGACCTCGGCCTCGCACAGGCAATCTTCAACACCTACCCGTCCACCGAGACGACACCCGTTCCCGACAACGATCGCTTCTCGTCCAATCTCCGGCCGTCCCCGCGCTCGGGCAAGGGCAACATCTTCTTCCAAGACTACCAGCCCCTCTCCGTCATCAACCCCTGGATGAGCCTCATGGCGTCCATGTTCACCACCCACGTCCGCCGCATCAACATTGGCATTAGCTACGAAGGCCGTGACATTCCCGCTCTGCGTGTCGGCGTGCACCCCACGAACAACGAAGAGCCGTCCAAGCCCCGGAAAACCATCCTTGTCACCGGCGGCATCCACGCCCGTGAGTGGATATCCACAAGTACGGTCAACTACCTGGCCTGGAGCTTCATCAACGCATACGGAAAAGACCGTGAGATGACGCGTCTCATGGAGGAGTTCGATTTTGTCTTCATCCCAACCCTGAACCCTGACGGATACGTCTACAGCTGGGAGACCGATCGTCTATGGCGCAAGAACCGCCAACCCACCAGTCTACGTTTCTGCCGCGGTATCGACCTCGACCGCAGCTACTCGTACAAGTGGGACGGCGATGCTTCTCAGTCGAACCCCTGCAGTGAATCTTTCCCCGGCAACACCCCGTTCGAAGGTGCGGAGTCAGCACGCTTTGCCGAATGGGCCAAGAACGAGACTGAAAACAATGTTGACATTATTGGCTTCTTGGATCTGCACTCGTACTCACAACAGATTTTGTACCCATACAGCTACTCATGCGACGAGGAGCCTCCATCAATCGAGGACCTTGAGGAGCTTGCTATGGGTCTAGCCAAGGCTATTCGCGTTTCCCGCAAAGGCCAAACATACAAGGTCACATCAGCCTGCGAAGGCAACGTAGCCATTGCTGGCCAGAACAAGTCCATTTTCCCGCGCATTGAATCGAGCGGCGGCAGTGCATTGGACTTTTTCTACCACGAATTGAAAGTCAGGTACTCGTACCAGATCAAATTGAGAGACACGGGCAGCTACGGATTTCTGCTGCCCAAGGAGAACATTATACCCACCGGAGAGGAGATGCTGGACGCGTTGTTGTACTTTGGGCGTTTTATGTTGGGAGGAGTTGGCATTGTCAACCAGGAGCAGCCTGCTCAAATTGTTAAGCCCTCACTCGAGACTGAGATCATCGAGTTGTAGTCTATAGTTTCCTTAATACATTCTTCTAGGCCTGACTACGCACATTGCGTAAAGTCATAACCGATTTCATGCATTAGTGCCCGTATGCAGATCCTTGAGAAGCGAACGCATCCATGGATGCCAACTTTGTACAAACTCGCACAAGCGCGAAGGCGTCAAAAACAACCTTGACAGTCGCACAGCAGCCAGGTTCCTGGATGTTGGTTTTTAACGGCCGCCATGCAGGTAGCGTTCTCTTGCACGTGGGAGGCCCGTGCTGCGACCGTTAGTCCAAGCATAGATCCTTACAACGTCATGGCTCGAAGTCTCGTCGACACAAACAGCTTACGCGCCTGTCACCCACCGCATCCACTAACGCCCGTCTATGGCGCCGACTGAACTCCGCGGCATCTGCGACTGTGACATTCTCTCTTTCTAGTGACACTTTCACCTTCGCTGTTGATTCGCACCATCGTTGAATTGGCCGAACAGCCGCCATGGCGTCCAGCTCCACCGAAACGACTCCCTTGGTCTCGTCCATGTCGAGCTCAAGCCGAGCGATACCCCCGAAGCCACAGCGCACCGTCACCTTCAACCCCACCGTCACATCTACCAGTCCTAAACCACCAGCGTCGCGATCGCTATCGCACAGTGCCTCGTCTTCCGGCCATGCTGCCACCACCCAGGGCGGGCAGCCCATGCTGTCGACGCTGAATAGTAAGCTGCGGAGAAGGAACAGCTCTGGCGCTCCTGCCAGGATACCTCCCGCGCCGGTGCCCAAGATTGGACCGCAGCGAACGACGAGAACTGCGCAGAAGCTCAAACTACTTCCTGACCCGGCCGCGGATGAAGCCGAAGACGAAGAGAGTGGACGCGATGTCTATGTACAATACACCAGGATAAAAGATCCGACTGCGCGAAGAGATGCTGCCCGTCTCGGCAAGGCCGACAGAGAGCGGTTGCCCAGGGTGACGGCATACTGTACTGCGGCCTCGTACAAGCTCGATGAAATGATGCGATTCTTGAAGGGCAAGCAGAAGATCAGAGGAGCTGCGCCCAAGCGCTTCGACGAATGCATATACTCGCCCTACAACTACGGAACGACAAAGGGCCCAGAAGACGTCAGTAGCACTGCCGTACTCGACGGCTTCACGGAAGAGAGACCGAGACGGTTCTCAGACAGCGCCATTGAGGTGGAACACGAGAACGAGAGAAGGAGGCAGGATCTCATCGACTTGCACGACGATGGTGACGCGCCGGACATCGCGAACGAACAAGCCATCGGCCCCAGACGGCCGTCGATCACGCACGCCGACTCTGACCCTCAAATGGACGCGCCCGACTTCGATACACGCGTCCATACGCCCGAAGTATTCTTGTTTGAGTACGGCACTGTTGTGATCTGGGGCATGACACTGCAGGAGGAGAAGAAGTTCTTGAAGGAAATCGCCAAGTTTGAAGTGGACAAACTCGGCAAGGATGAGATCGAGACGGAAGAGTTCAACTTCTACTACACGCGCGAGTACCAGGCCCGGATATACAACGACTTCATCAGTCTGCGCGACAAGAAGAACTACATGATCAAGCTAGCGATTAGTCACGGTCTTTCTCAGAGTGTCAAGACGTCGCTGTTCGAGGACCTGGTCGACAATACTATCGACGAGACGAAGGACATTCCGGCCGAAATCGCCAGCTCCGGCAAGATCAACCTGAACAAGAAGCAGATCAACATGCAGATTGGAGAATTGTTCATTCTCCGGATTAGTATCCATCTGCAAGGATCGGTTCTTGATGCGCCCGAGCTCATGTGGGCTGAGCCGCAGCTAGACCCGGTGTATCAAGCTGTGAGAAGCTATCTGGAGATGGACCAGAGAGTTAGTCTCTTAACCGAGCGACTCAATGTCATCGGAGACTTGCTTGCTGTCTTGAAAGATCAGCTGACCGTCACTCACGTAAGTACCTACCTTATGCTTTTTTGCCGTACATCCGCTGACCGATACAGGGTGAATTGCTCGAGTGGATCGTCATCATCCTCATTTTTGCTGAAGTGCTGGTGGCCGCCATCAACATCTTTGTCGACCTGCACGCTGCGGACTAGACTGCACGTGTATTGTATATATTCCCCGGTGTACGATATGTGGTTCACTGCGCGCGAGGGTTGGGCTTATTCAAAAAGTCAAATGCACGGCGTTGGCTGCGGGTATTTGTTTGTTGTTGCAGGATTATTCTTTATGATGGCGGAATGTATGGCGGGACTGGAGAAAGCATAGTGAAAGCAGTAGTCGATTAGTCAGTAATACAGTGGATGTCGCATTGCTAGGCTATCTATCACGCAGGCGGCGGAGATGAGCAGCTCCGCCCGCTGAACCCTGTCGCGCCCCATCTTTCCGTATGCGACCCTTTTGAGCATTTCACCGCATGCCGTCGCCCTCCACCCGTCCTGAGCCCCAATGAGCCGTCCCAGATGAGTTGGAATCTGCTAGAGCGCTTTATAGAATCTGAGCACTTCAACCAAGATCCGAGCCTCGCAGTAGCATACCTTGCGTGAGTCCCCGTCCCCTCCCCGTCCCCGTCCCATGTGCCCCGAAGCCACCGTTGCCCGCAGCACCGCCGCACGCAGCGCCCTTCACCTCCACCCACGTCCGCATTGGGGCCCGTTGCTGACCATGGCCGTGACCGCAGCCGGTATGCAGACCACGTCGGAATCCACTATGTGCTCTGTTCGAAGCTGCGCCAGTTCGCCTACGAGGAGCTCGAGTTCTTCCTCCCGCAGTACGTCGCCGCCTGCCCACCTCGACGAGACATGGACAGCTAGCTTACACACGCGGGGCACAGGCTCTGCCACCTGCTCATCAGCATCGACAATGAGTCCATGGCCCTGGAGGAATTCATAATCGACCTGTGCGAGGAGTCGGTCAACGGCGCGCTGCTGACCTTCTGGCTGTTCCAGACGTACCTGCACGACCTCGCCAGCGCCCCCAACTCGATTGCCTTCAAGACGTGCCGCCGCATCTACAACCGCGTCCAGCGCATCGTCTTCGGGTCCGCCGAGCCCCAGCGCCGCGAGAAGATCAAGGAGAACGTCCTGCCCGTCACGGTGCTCTCGAGCCTGGTCCTGGCGAGCATAGCCGCGCCCTTCCTCCCCGTCCACGCCGGACCACTGGCCATTGCGCAGGCGCGGAAGCCACGGCCCGTCGAGGACATCATCTCGGACAATGTGCAGACGGCCAAGGTCGGGCGGAGCAAGACGGTCACGGGCAGTTCCTCACGCTCCAAGGAGAAGCGGATAGCGCAGCAGCACTCCGACCCCGAGGATGGGCGATCCGTCAAGGCTTCGTCCTCGCGGCCGCGTGAACCCAAGGACCTGCGGAAAGCAGCTGTACGACCGCCAGCTACTACACGGACCCCCTCGATGCAGCACCGCCCTTCGCTGCTCTCGATAGCCTCAGAGGCCCGGCTCAGCTCGTCGTCCTTACCCGACTTCCGAGACCAAACGTCTTCTCCCCTGCCCACACCTCCCGCAACTGCTGGCCTCGGACCAGGCCCACTCCAGCATGGTTCTCGCAAGCACCCCGGGCTGCCACCCAGACCCCTCTCCCCTACCGCCTTGTCCCGCGCGCAAAAGGTACGACTACTGCGATCCAACTACTTCCGGAACGAGACCCAGTTTCTCAGCGCGCTCGAGGACATCTCCAACCGCTTGGTCGTTGTGCCGAAGCCCGCGCGGCTGAGTGCTCTGAGAGCTGAACTAGCGCTGATCGCCCAGGACCTGCCGGCCGAAGTTGATATACCCTTATTATCGCCCCCGACCCTCAAGGATGGGATCCCGTCGCAGAGTCAACATCACCGCATAGTGCGCATCAACCCCGCGGAAGCGACTAGTCTCAACAGTGCAGAGCGAGTACCGTATCTGCTCATGGTTGAGGTCTTGGAGGAGGACTTTGACTTTGATCCGGACACTGAACAGAACCAACAGCTGCTTGAGAAACTGATGCTAGAGAAGGGCACCTCACGGAGACGACTATTTGACATCACTCATGCTGAGTATTCTGCCTTCGACCGCACGCCACCCAATGGATCAGACAGCGTGTTCGAGCCCGCTACTGGAGATCTGGGCAGCACCTCGCTCATCAAAGATATGGATGATACCGATCTTGCTTCCGGGATGGCACGCGTAACCTTACCTGCTGCGGCTGCCAATGGGAAAGCCACAGCCCCCAGGTCTTCTAGTGGAGCAAACACTCTGTCCTCTGTGGCCACCTTGTCTACACCACGAACTTCCGACTCGCAGATCAGCAGGTCGAATAGTCCCGGTCCGATCAGGCGAATGACGATTCCTGCGAATTTGAACCAGCGGAATCAATCAGCTGATCAACCAGACTTCTCCGCTCTTGCGACTCACATGCGCACCGCTGCCCAGATGCTTGCACAGCTCGAGGCGAGTGGTGCGAAACGGCCAAAGGGCGAAGTAGCAGCGATCAAAGCCAAGATCATCGCAAGCATGCAAAGCTTGGAAGAGCAAAACTTCTTGAATGAAGACCAAGGCCCTACATTCGACACCATCATGGCAGAGTCGGATCCAGCAGCAATCAGTGCCGAGCCAGAGGAGCTTGAGGATGGTTTGGCCGTCGCGACCAACACCGGTGCGGGTGCAGCTCGCATGGAGAACGATCTCAAAACTGGTGGTATGAAGCGGAAGGGCGATCGTGATGACCCCAGCGCCGCGACGTTCGGTGAAGAATGGAGCGCCAAGCGAGAACGAATACGGCGATCCTCTCCATATGGCAATATGAAGAATTGGGATCTGATCAGTGTCATTGTCAAGACTGGAGCCGACTTACGTCAAGAAGCCTTTGCGTGCCAGCTCATCGAAGTGTGCACCAAGATCTGGGAAGAAGCAAACGTGCCAGTCTGGACAAAACGGATGCGCATCCTCGTTACCGGCGAATCCTGTGGACTCATCGAGACAATCACCAACGGCGTATCTCTTCACTCCCTGAAACGAAGCTTGACACTTGCTAGCATAGCAGCAGGCACGAACCCCCGGAAACGCATCGCAACCCTAAAAGATCACTGGCTCAAGACTTTCGGCGAGCCAGACTCGGAAGCCTACATTGCGGGTGTAGGTTGCTTCGCGCGCTCGCTAGCCGCCTACAGCATGATATGCTACGTTCTGCAACTAAAGGATCGCCACAACGGCAACCTCCTCATCGACAACATGGGCCACATAATTCACATCGACTTCGGCTTCATGCTCTCCAACAGCCCCGGGTCCATGGGTTTCGAAGCTGCGCCTTTCAAATTAACGCAAGACTATGTCGACGTCCTGGGCGGTGTGACATCCTCGGCGTTCGACGAGTTCAAAACGCTGTGCAAGAAGGCGTTCCAAGCGCTGAGGAAAGATGCCGAGCGCCTGATCATGCTGGTCGATCTGATGAGCAAACAGAGCAGCATGCCATGCTTTGCTGCTGGCGCGGCGAGTGTGACGAACAGTCTGAGAGCGCGTCTCATGTTGCATTTGAGTAGGGAGGAGGCGGAGGGGTTCGTTGAGGAACTCGTTGCGAAGAGTGTGGGGAGTTATTATACCCGACTGTAAGTCTGACTTTTACTCTAAACCTGTAGATGACATTCACTGACGAGACCATCAGTTACGATACTTTCCAGTACCGCACACAAGGCATATATTGAGTTTGTTGGTCGCTGCTTTGCATTTGCTTGGCTTGCTATAGGGCAATGGGGTACATTTTGGGGGGTATTGCATCCCGTGGAGTATCTTTTACTGCGAGGAACGAAGTGAGGGATCCATGTTGCACGATTGGAATAGATGGGCTGTTAGACGTGTGGAGAAGCAAGTTACTACACAACCCACCGTTCCCTGATTTCGGCATAGTGAATGTCATTCTTCTTTGATGTTTGATCCTGTCTTCGGAACATACCGAGCTTTTTGCATGCAATTTGCTTGCTATACCTAGGTACCCCGCATGTATGCCGAGTTCAACACCCGGTCACACTAGCATATATGAGGCTTCATAAGGTTAAATACACCACACAAAGTGGACCGGCCCTACTACCTCGACCGCGACTTAAACATCCATGTCAATAACTCGTTCGTACCTCATCTGGAGGCTGAGAGGCCGGGAGTGAAACTACACCGATACAGCTTAGTTTCTGTGCCATGACGCCTCCTTGACCCTCGCGCTTGTCAATTGATCGGACAATTACAAGATCTCATATGGAGCGGCTGAAGTGTATCCGAGGCTGAAGTTAAGCTATGTGTAGGACTAGTATAAAACGAACCACAGAACCGTGTATCACTAATCAGACAAATCCGTGTCCTTTCTTCCATACAAAAGTCTTCAGATCCACCATGAGGCTCCTCGTCGCTCTATCCGCCGGTCTACTAACCGGCATCTCCGCCAACCCCGTCAGCACACCCACCCTCACCTCCCGCTCCGCAACCTCCGTCCAAGAAACCATCAGCCTCTGCACGCAATACGCCTACCACTCCGCAAACGGCTACGAAATCCTCAACAACCTCTGGGGCAAAGACCAGGCGACATCTGGTTCTCAGTGCACCTACTACGAGGGCAGCACCGGAAACGGCATCAAATGGAGCACAGATTGGGTCTGGCAAGGCGGCCAGGACCAAGTTAAGAGCTATGCCTACGCCGGTAAAATCCTGACCAAAGGGCAAAAGATCTCGCAGATTACTAGTATGCCGACGCAGGTGGAGTGGTCGTATAATCAGACGAGCAATGTGAGGGCGAATGTGGCGTATGATGTTTTTACTGCGGCGGATCCCGAGCATGTTAATAGTAGTGGGGATTATGAGCTTATGGTCTGGTACGTTCATGCCGTGTCTAAACGATGACTGCAACGGAGCGAGGCTAACGTGGAGAAGGCTCGGGAGGCTGGGAGGCGTATGGCCTATCTCGCAAGCTGGAGCCCCAGTGGCTACCGTTACCATCGCTGGATACACGTTTGATCTCTACACCGGCTACAACGGGTCGATGCGCGTGTACAGTTTCGTACGCGCTGGAAACAGTGATATCAAGAGCTTTAGCGCTGATATCAAGTTGTTCTTCAACTACCTGGTACAGACCCAGCAGTACCCTGCGAGCACGCAGAATCTGATCGGTAGGTAGTTCCTGCACGGTTAGAGCTGACTGGTACTGACACATGAGTAGTCTATCAAATCGGTACGGAAGCTTTCACTGGTGGGCCTGCGAGGTGGTCGGCTTCGAGCTTCAGCCTTGATGTCAAGGTTTAGGATGTTGGATGGGTGAACAGGTTCCGCCCACCTCGCTTTCCAGTGCATGTTGGGGGATGCACCGAGCAAGGACCTGGGGAGGAGTCTAGTTGATCAGTGAGCTGAGCGATAATAGATATGCTCCGGTTCCATCTGAAACATGAAAATGCTTTAGACTGATGCTGCTTCAAAGACTGCGGTGCAGGACGTGTTCGAAGCGCAAGCCATTCTTCGAAGGTGGAAGTTCCCCATACTCGTTGAACCATCACCGTCTGAGGCCTTCACATGCCACTAAAACGGACTACAGCCGTGCATATGCCACACAATTGCAACAGTCGTGAGCGTATCCCGGTCTCAGCCGCTAGCCACATTCCTACTCTTCTAGTTAGCGTGGTACAGGGCCTCTGCTGTTTCCATTGCCTTGTACTATGATTGTAAGTGTTATACCCGCTGCGTTGGGGCTAGTATACTGCTTTTGAACGACGGGAATCGCAACATGCGGCTATCATTGGGGCATTGTTATCGTTGTCGTTGTCGTGGTGACTCACTCTGCCGCAAGTTCTTTGGATACGGAGAAAGGCGAGTATCGAGACATGTTCCTTAATCGCAAATTCACAGCTCACAGCATCCTCGTTACCTGCCGAAGTCGGCTCCGATACGAATTTCCGCATGTCGCATAGTAACGTTGCCAACGAAGAAGCGGATGCTGTACACGCGGGAGTCACCATTTGATTGGAGAAGCGCGGGTTTCATCCAGTGCTCATTTTTCGAGCAGAGAAAACGAAAGCCAACCGTTGTTCTCGGAAGTCCCCACCGAGGCGCAAATCGTTGTCATGTGCTCGATGGTATTGTGGTAGAATGCCCATCTGCCCGTGTTCGTGTCACTGGTGAGCGTTCCGCGGCGCGGGAATGCTAAGAGCCTGGCGACACGACATGTTTCCAACCACAGCAAGGGAAGGTACCACTTGGCATGTTCCTTGACCGAGAATACACAGGTTGAAAGGTGGTATTGCTCGTTACTATGAGTAACATCGTGGTGAAATTGCGGTTGGAGAGAGGACAAAACATGCAAATTTCGGAGCGACTGTACTTAGAGCTTGATTTTGTGCAGAAGGTGATACCGAGGACTGCGAACTCAATAATGTGCCATCATGCAACGCAAAAGTGCGGGATAGAAAGATAGGCCCCGCATATGCTGATCGCGTGTTGGCGATGGTGCTGCCATGGTGTTTGGTGCCCCTTCTGTCAAGCGGCTGGCTGTTGGTAGGATAAAATCGTCAAGCTGATGAAGATATTGCTATGCGTGCGACTGTGTAGCACGTGGTCCAGATCACCGAATAATTGCAATGACTGTTTCGCACCATTATATCAGCGACGTCGACCTCCAAAAGATAAGCCTGATGCATACTTGGGCCTGGGCGGTGTAATATGTCGGCGTCAACCTCCGCATCGCGGCTGCGAAGGATCGTTTACTGTACTGGGATCCGTCATTGCAACAATGACAGCTTGTGAGAAGCGATATATAGGTTCGAAATTCCGGCGTGCCGTTCGTGAGGTCGAAAGATAAGTGAATATGCTGTTCGTGATGAGGTCAGGAATAGTTGCAATGTCCTTGTCATCGGATGAAATATGCTCAGTCCGCTGTCGAGCATGGGGCCTTTATAGACAGAGGGAGACGCTTGAGGCGACACGACATTAGACCATTGGTACAGTCTCAATAGATGCACCAAGTGGCTCGGATCGACTGGGCGCTATTTCTGCCATGCCACAAGTGTTGAAGGTGTTGTAGCCAGTGCTGAAGCTTTGGTAAGGACGCTGTACATCATAGTTTCTTGAGATATGCTGTGGGTGCATTTGTTGGCAGCACGGCGTTGACGCTCCGCGAATGGCTCAGCTTTTTGGCTTGAGAATTTGTGGGTATTTTGCCGCTGTGACCATTCCGTCTCTTTGAGAGCATATTTCTTTTGAGGGTAATGCCTGCATCGGTCACTGTTACTTTGGTGACTCAGTGGTACAGACATACGAGCACTGCCGGCCGATAGTACTTCCCATGGTCTTTGTTTGCAATCGATTTGACATGCATGGACAGTCTGCGATATGGTACGAAGCTCTTTAGATGTTTCCGCGTGCTTGACTTTGCATTTGGAATGAGCGTGGTTCAAGGATTTCTCCCAAACGTGCAAAGGCACCCAGCCGTTGCTACTATGGGTACAATCTGCCATAAGCGGAAGTCGCGGGTAGATTCGTTACACATGCTGGAATTCCGAATGGCTATAGCGGCTGTTGAGCACTGATCTGATCGCCACGTCGGTAAGGATACGCTTTCTGTAGCCCGAGCTCGTATGTGAACATGTGGGGCTGTTCAGGGTTGACTGTGGGCCGGCTGTGGGTTGCCGTACATCAACTGAACCTTAATGGATTTGTCAGTTGGTATTCATGTTGTAGTCTATCAAAACCTACGTTCATGTGCATGAGCCACTAGCCTCATAGCAAAGACATTGTGAACTCACTTTGAAGTTGCACCAAAGAGAGAAATGACTATGAGAGCCCATGCAACATTTGGTAGCAGACAAGGATTTGTCGTATGTTTCGAGGTCGAAAAGGGTGCGTTCGAAGCAAATGAATGCGGTGAGCGCCGAACGGGGTTAGAAGGGCTTGGGTGAGCACGTGGTCCATTTTCTTTGCCTTGTAATTTCGCACTGGTCGTTTCTGGACAAAATTTACCTATGAAGCATTGTGGCATCGCTTTATCTCAGCTCGATACATTGTCAGCTCCAGAAACGAACAGTCGTACGTATTTGTTATGTGGGTCCATCGAGGAGAGATATGATGTTTGAGTTAGCCCTAGATTCGAGGCTAGAGGCAATGTCAGGGGGATCTGCCGTTGCATTCAGGCAACGGCGTACGACATTGCGCAGACATGGAGCACGCCCATCATTGTCGACACTAACGCCCCCTGTCGAAGAACGAGCCTGAAGCTAGGCAATCTGTTGAAGTCGGTTAACACGAGTGTGCTTGGTCATGGAGTTGTCGCTCAAGAGGTAACGTAAACGAATCGAAGGCGTGTCTTGCTGTGCTGCGACAACGTTTTGCCTTGTTGCTCCGTCGACTATCTCTGGCACTGCCAGACCTCGTAACGATATCTGTCATGAGTGTTACGAGTTCCAGACGCTCGCACACGAGCGTGGGCGTCCTGACACCTGTCTGTGTTTCTGTGTATCTCCCCAGCTCAAGGCAGTAGGTCGACGCAAACGAGTTTCGCCTGCGCAGGTAGCATACCGATTTGTATGCGGAATCAGATACCAATCTTAGGGATACCTGCAGACGGTACTACGAATATCGACAGTCGAAGTGCACCGGATGACTATGAATTCGTAGGGCTCTCCGAGCGCAGCTGCATCGAGACACGGTGTGAGCTCCGAGCCTATCGCAGTAGTCGGGAAGCAGCATACTCACTGATGTCATATTTGATGGCATGCAGCGTATCCATGGATAGTTCAAGCGCTAGACAGCTCTGCGCCACTGTGTCACGGCGAAGGTGCGTGACAGTCTTGGACCCTGAGTGCGCTATCGTCATGTGAAATCGAAGCGTGATGAAGTGTTGTGAAGGCAGGCGGCGGATGACGGGGATGAATGTTGGGTGTTGTCGGCTGACAAGTGGGGGTGAGGAGCGTCGGCTTGGGATGATGGTGGAGGCCTCCACCCCCGCGCCCCTCCAAGTACCTTAGAGATACACGACACAACATCGCTACCCGCTCAACCACGGCCTCGAACTCCGCAAGCAAATCAGACCAACCACGAGCAACCAGCATGGCCTACAACTTTGTCAGGTCGTACATCGACACGTTCCGGGAGCGGACCGCCGCCATCAGCCACACATCGACCTTCCGCGAGACGGGCCAGATCACGCCCGAGGAGTTTGTCCTTGCTGGCGACTTCCTCGTCTTCAAGTTCCCCTCATGGCAGTGGGCCGACGCGTCATCGCCTGCAAAGCGCGTGTCGTACCTGCCGGAAGGAAAGCAGTTCCTGGTAACGCGCGGCGTGCCCTGCCACCGACGGCTCGACGACAACTTTGCGGGAGAGGCGGGCCAAGATGAGACCATAGTGAGGGACGGCTTCGCTGCTGGGGAAGGTGCGACCGACGATGACGGCTGGCTCAGGACCGGAGGCATGGCCGCAAGCCAGGAGGCCAAGGTGCGCGACGTGCGGACGGTCGACGAGAGCGGCAACCTAGGCGCGGCAGAGGAGGATGACGAGATACCCGACATGGAGGATATCGAAGACGACGAGGAAGCCATCATAAGAGACCCCAAGGCCGACTCAAATACAAAGGCGTGAGTGTGCCCGCCTGCTGCCAGCGCTCTACAGACTGACTGACACCCAACAGGCCCCTTCGCACATACACCCTCTACATCACATACTCCGCCCACTACCGAACACCGCGATTATATCTCTCCGGCTACGGCTCCACGTCCGTTCCACTGAAACCACAAGAGATGATGGAGGATATCGTCGGAGACTACAAGGACAAGACCGTCACCATCGAGGACTTCCCTTTCTTCGAGAACCCTCTCAAGACTGCCTCGGTACATCCCTGCAAACATGCATCCGTCATGAAAGTACTCCTTGACCGCGCCGACGCTGCTCTGAAGCTTCGACTCGCCAAGCTCAAAGCCGGTAAAGATGTCAGCAAACTCGACAGCGGCATGGAAGCGCTAGTCGACGATACACGGCTGCTCAAGCTCACGGAGCAAGCAAGGAACAAGGATGGCGACGAGGGCAAGGACGACTGGGAGGTCCTTAGCGAGGGTGGCGACGACGAAGTAGCTATCCGCGTGGACCAGTATCTTGTCGTCTTCTTGAAGTTCATGGCCAGGTAACTTCACTCCATGCTTTAAAAGCACCTTCTAACAGCCCACAGTGTAACTCCAGGTATAGAACATGATTTCACCATGGGTGTCTAGTCATACACACGTCTTTTGGGTAACTAGTCAGGCGCTTGAGGATTGGCGGCATTGTTTTGGATTATTACTTAACTCAGCGGGCGCGAACATCATTTGGGTAGGTGGGCTATAGGCTTTGGGATCACCACGGATTCAGTTAGAAATATACCAGTTGTCTCGTTCAGGATTTCATGGGGTGAAGTGATGGAAAGTTAGATTGCACTCTATCGTCGGAAGCCTCCATAAGATCGCTTCCAGTCCCTAACACCTCCTGGTCGACGCACATCAAGCTCCTTGCCCTCGTACCCCAAGTTGCTCTCCGCGCGGTGGAACATGGCGCACAGACGGTCGAAGAGGCTGTCTTCCTCTGAAGCCTTGGGGAGGACTTGTGGCGCTTCCACAGATCCCGGTGCTACGTCTCCAGAAAAGTCCTCTTGGTCGTCATCATACGAAGCTTCCTCTTCGTCGGTTGGTGTCGGGTCAAAAAGGGCATGGAACTTGTGGTTCATTCGAGTGCGCCATGGGTCAACCTCTGATGATGCGGAAGATGATAGACGTTCGGCGATTTCGAACTATGATAGTTAGTCACGATGTCCTTTTCATGTTCGATGGCGCGCGCAACATACCTCTCTCAGTCCTTGTAGGCGATACTGTTCAGCTCGCTTTTGGAGGCGGGGCGCCGAAGGTGATATGGGCATGGCAGACGCGAAAGCGAACAGGGCCACGATGGCCATGATGATGAAGGAGCGCATTTTTGGTGTGGTAAACGAAGGAATTTCGGGTGAGTGGTGTAGATGTTCAGTGAGATCGAAATGGGTTGCTGTCAAAGCTGAATGGGCGTAGTCTAGCTACCCTCAGAGACCAGCGCTCTTGTCAAAAGTAGCGAAATGAATGAAGAAAAGAATGTCGAAGGCCCGAGTAAGTGTGCAACAAGAAGAGATAAAGCACGTTAATGAGTGGCGATCCACATGTATATCCGCTGCAAGAACGGCCGGGGTAGTAACGAACGAAGACCGGTTCGTCCAAAGTGCATCATCACCCGCAGCTTATCCAGACAAGCTCACTATATATCCACCAACCGGTAGGTTAATGGGCTGTCAGAGGTTACGTCTGCCTGTCAATTATTCCGAAACAGCGGTCCGCGCACCAAGAGAAACGATCAACGGCAGGGAGGGGATGTTCGCGCAATCTTTAGCCCGTGGTGTTGGCGCAGTTGTGACCGCATTGAACACGCTGGTGCGAATTCATCGAACCATTGCATAACTTCGAGACGCTGGGGCCCAGTACGCCTGAAGGACCTGCCCGATGTAGTTGGAAAGAACCAGAGATCCGTTGAGGGGAGCCAGGCGTGCATCAGCGCCCCCAGCCTGTAGCCTTGACTACTCGGCTGATGTTTCCCCAACTTCTAGATCTAGATCAGTGTGTTTCGATCGCCGGCTTTGCGGCTAGGCGTGCTGTTTCGACTCGCATGATTCCTGGGACGCCACCGTCATGCCAAATTGTCTGCGGATGTCAACTCTGATACAGGCACGCCGGGCGGTTAAACTGGAGGATTCCGGAGATTCAGCCTGGAAGACGTTGGGCTGGACGTGATGAAACGAATGTAGCAGATGGATTGCGCGTCAAAACGCGGGCGCTAACACTAGCGTGGCGCTACTAGGCGCACGGGCGTGCAAGAGCGATCGAAGGCAAACAGAGCAAACACTCCCAGCCTCCACATCACGCGGACGTCATCATCGTCGCGCGACGTTGGGAAGACTCTAAACTTACTTGGACAGTTACCTAGACATCACATAACATCGCTTATCTTGGCTACTCGAACAATGATCAGCTGGACAACTCAACTAGACAGCCGAAGGCACAGAACGCGTCTCTTGGACACGTCTTGACAACCCCTGCTTGGAGGAATCGGTTCAGCATAAAATACCCCGATATGGACGATCATGAACACTCTTCCCAGACAATACGCCCAGGATCGCTATCACCAACATCCACGATATCCGCACAGGCCCTCGACCTCAGCAGACTCCCGCCAATTGCAATTTTCACTGCGCATCTGCAGGACGAGGAAGTGAAGCTGCTCAAGGAAACGTTGCGCCAGTACGACGCACCGCTTACTACCGATGTCTCCAGGGCAAAGGTCTTTATTGGGAAGGTGGGTACAAAGAGAAGGGCCGAGTTCGAATTGAGGGCTCGAAAGCTGGTTGTTCAGGAGATTGTCACCCCTAAACGGCCAGCTAGTCCTGTGAAGGCACAGGATCACTCCAACAAGAGGCGAAGGATTGGTAAAACGTCTGCTCGGTTATCTGCGGACGAGGGAGACTCTACCACCGAGGATGAGGCTGGCAACGGCTCTGAGACTGAGCAGCACCACGTTCCTCTCTCGTCCCCTTCGAGATCCGACAATGGCTCACAGGCTCCGCTACTGTTCGAGGATTCGTCTGACGATACCATCTGGGTTATCAAGTTCGACTGGGTAGAAGCTTGTGTAACTGCAGGTCATCTACTTCCATTGGGAGACAGCTTGGTCTACACGGGTAAAGTCATTGAACGGCCTAAATCATTGAATAAGAAGTCTATCAAAGACATTTTCGGCGCGCACACAAAAGTAGCGCCGGCATCTCAGACTCTCTTGGCAACACGACCACATCCAGTGCAAGACATCTTAGACCGCGCAAAATTAGACATGAAGACGACTACCAAGAAAAGTACATATCAGCCGCAAAGACTCGGGAACCACACTTCTAATCGCTTCGATGGAAAGGCTTTCGCCCGCTCTTCCCAGCCTGTTGGCCACTCGTATGCTTCACAAGCTGCACATTTACTGCAGCAAACGACCAGTGAGTACGAAGGCGAGGACAGTGACATTCCTGCAGCACCGGATTGGGTGAAGAAGGGCGTCAAGTATTCATGTCAGCGCTTCACACCTGGCAATGGACCCAATGAAGACTTCCTCGACCAGCTCAGGAAGATAAGGACTGCTCGAACTTTGATCGACGACGACATAGGTGTTCGTGCTTACTCAACCATTATCGCTTCTATCGCTGCATATCCGTACAGACTTAGTCACCCCCGAGAGATCGCTCAGCTACCGGGTTGTGACGAGAAAACTGAAGTTCTTTTTGTAGAGTGGAAGAACACTGGTAAGATTCAAGCAGTCGAAGATTTCGAGGCCGATGAATCAATGAAAGTCGTACGTTCCTTCTACAACATCTGGGGCGTTGGAGCCAAGACCGCACGCCAATTCTACTACAACAACCACTGGACTGAATTGGATGATATCATCGAGTTTGGCTGGAACGACCTGGACAGAGTGCAGCAAATTGGCGTCAAGTACTATGACGAATTCTTGGTCTCTATTCCGCGCCCCGAAGTTGAGCAAATCGCCGCTGTTGTTCGCGAACACGCTGTGAAGCTTCGCGACGAACGCATTACTGTCACGATTGTGGGCGGGTACAGACGTGGCAAGACAGACTCTGGTGACGTGGACTTGATCGTGTCGCACCCGGAGCTAGAGAGTACAGCGGGCTTGGTTCGCGAGATTGTCGAGTCATTGGAGGAATCCGAGTGGATTACTCACACTCTTACGATGAGCTTGAAGAACACTAATCGTGGTCAACATGCGCTGCCTCTTCGATCTGCAAAGGGAGCTGGCGCGGGCTTTGATACGCTTGACAAGGCACTCGTTGTGTGGCAAGATCCGGCGTGGCCTACTCGTGAGGAGGATCTTGCCGAGAATCCAAGAGCGAAGAACCCTGCTATTCACCGCCGCGTTGACATCATCATCGCGCCTTGGCGGTCGGTTGGTTGCGCAGTCTTGGGTTGGAGTGGCGGTACCACCTTTCAGCGTGATCTGAGGCGGTATGCGAAAGCCATCAAAGGCTGGAAGTTCGATAGCAGCGGTATCCGAAGTCGAAGTAACGGCGAAGCCATAATGCTGGAAGGGCCCGATGAAGTCGAGGGTACGCCCGAAGATGCTGAGAAGAAGGTCTTTGAAGGGCTAGGTCTGGAATATGTACCACCAGAGTATAGAATAACGTATTGATGGGGCACGTCACATGGTACAGCATCGTGAAGACAGCTCTCCTGCTTCACCATCTGTCTTCCACGAGCTTCCTTTCCAACTCCATCACAAGGAGCCTTCACGCGCCCATGCTACTCGCTGAGATATCACTACGTCTTGCAATATCGCCACTATGTGCAGAACTCTAGCAACCACCTCCGAATACGATCGCCTACCACCATGCAGCCTGACCGGCTGATCCACGCCCTCACTATAATCATACAGATACTCATCAGCCTTGTTCTCTTCGCCATCGTCCTCCCCTTCTTCATCCTATGGCGTGTCCCAATAAGCCTCCTCTACTTCACCAAGAACGAAAAGCCACAGGAAAAGAACGCAGACCAAGAGAGAGAAAGGCTGCAAGGCCTGCCAGCGGACGAGGAAGAAGAAGAACCGAAACCACCCCCACCACCAGACCTCCACGAGCGCGCCCTCGCACCCTACACACAACAATGGACAGCCTTCAAATCACGCCCGATCAACCAACCCCTCGTAGCCCACTGGTCACGCGTCGCGTGTCTATCCCTCCTCACAATACAAACCACGCTCACCCTCGCCCTCCTCGAAAAGTCGCTCGTGTATCACATCCCCTGGTTCGTTGCACATCTCTCAGACACAGACTACAAGACCTCGAAGAAGAAACTCTGGCTTAATGACCTCTTGCTGCATGTAGCCTGGCTACTTATGACATGTGCGCCTGTTGTAGGTTTGTTAGGCGTGGGCCTGGGTATCGCGTATTATATGGCTAAAGCGGCGAGGTACGGGAAGTTTAATAAGGGTATGGCGAGAAAGAAGGGAGGGAGGGGGTACGAAGATCCGAATGAGGCGAAGGAGAGAGAAGGGAAGAATGGGGAGGCGCATGGGGTGAAGGAGACGGTTATGGGGGTTGTGGATCATGTTATGCATCCAAATGTTCATGTTCCGCAGCTGCATTTACCGCACCCGCATCTGCATCACCACCCGCACGAACGGCGGGAGCCGGAAGCTTCGCCGTATGGGTATCCGGGGTATAGTGAGGATATCCTCTTCGAGCAGCCTGGAGACACGGCGGGTGGGTATCAAGATCCGGTCCAGCAAACGCCGCCTGTAGCGGTCCAGCCTCCGGCACCGGCGGCAAGGTTTGATAAGAACCCTTATACTTTGGCTGGTATTGCGTCGATCTGGACTGGTCAGAAGGAGAAGATGAAGGGTGGCTACGACGGAAGAGACGTCAGGAAGCAGAACTTCGCAGACGACATTGAGATGGCGGATTGGGTGGGTAGGAAGTAAATGATACGATTATTCATGAAGTGTTCTTGCTGGCAAGGATGAAGGATATAATTATGTTGTTAGTACATATGAAGAAAGAGCAACCCCTCATCCACTGGTATCATCGTCCACCCGCCTCAACTCCGCGCTTTTCTTCGATGTACACACCCCGCTTTTGCACTACCCCAAACGCCCCCATCATATCTGTCAACACATTCAAGTGCTCTTCTTTCCCTGCGCGGCAGCATCCAAATGCCACCTCATGACCTTCTCAAAGATGCCCTTGCCGTCTCCCTCCATGACATCGCCGTGGCAAGGGATAATCCTGTTGAACCCCCACTTGTTGATCCTCTCCATACTAGCCGAGAAACCCTTCCTGTCACTCGCACTAGTTCCATACCAAATAGTCCTCTGTTGCCACTTCGCATCACCCTTTGTACTCTGCAGCGCCCCAAAGATCTTCGTCAAGATGCCGCTATTCGGGTCAACCCCCGATTTGCTGAACTGCTCCGTAGCAGGCAGGTTGAACATGAGATCAGCCTGTATGAGAGTGCGGGTAGGGCGGTGATGGAAAACAAGTTCCTTGTTGACGTGCGAGGGGACGTATTCCCAATCGAACTCTGCGTCGAACTCGGGGGAGATGGTCTCGACGCGTTTGTCGGCGCTGAAGAGGATCGAGAAGGGGACGTTGTCGTCGTTTTGCTTCGCGCGCTTTTCGGGGAGGACGTCGGGGCCCATGACTTGCGCGTTGGGGTATTCTTTGTGCCAGGGGCCGAGGAAGATGTGGTGCTGTTACGCATAGTGTTAATAACGGTCGCAGGTGTTCTTGTGGGCTGATACGTACTTCTGCGTCTAGGGCGGCGATGTATTTTACTTCGCCCATCTCGGATACTTTCTGCTTGACATCCTCGGTCAATGCGACAGGAGAAAAGACGGCGAGAGAACCGGATTCGAGGCGCACTGTTCTTGCGCGTTAGCAGTTGCATGTGAAGTATTCCTTGGACACAACATACCAATCGTTCCTCTTCCGCCAATCTTCACGCGACCAAACCTCCAGAATGGGACCGATAGAGTGGTGATCACGCGCGGAACAACGTCGCGAATCACCATAACGCTGGCGGGATCGGAAGGTACGAGTTTCGACGACATGCTGGGCTTTGTGGATTGTAGGAAGTCTGGGTGAAGAGAATCAGTGTGGAGAGAAGAGATGTTGTGAGGATGCGCCGGATGCTTGGTATCTAAGATAGAAGACGTAATGCGGCGAGACCCTTGATGACGCAATGTTCAAGATTGGAGTGAAGCGACTTTGAAACTGCAATGTAGCAGCCAGGATGTAGGATATCAGCTATATATCATTGGAGATGTCTCGATCCGCTTGAAGGATGAGAATTTGTCCGCTTGTAATGAGCGTGTGGAGAGATATCATTCGAGTAAGGTGTTGGTGCCCAGGTGTGTCGCGTGGAAATGCAGGGAGCTTGAGCCGAGGTGTCCCGCGACGCGTCGGGCTTTGTCAGCTACGTCACCGCTTTGTGAACTCCAAAATCTAGAACTTTGGGTTTCAAGATGGGAGCATACTTCGCGATTGCAGATTGAGATGCAATTAAACAAGTAGAGTTCATTATGTATTGATTTACACGGCTGTATATAGATCATCCTGACATGAACTATCGATCCATAGCCACATTCGCATGCTACTTCTAAATTCGCATCTCGCGATTTGGTCTTCGGTGTTGCCAGTAGCGTTTCCAGGGGCCGCCGACCACCGACCCACATCATCAGTGGGCTCGCGTCGCGTCCTGTTCTAGAAACTTTCCTTTTGGATGGAATGCTCGGACGAACTTGAGCGGCGCCCAAGATGCGAGTATTTGGAAGCATCGCAGACTGGCTTGTTGGCCAGGCGTGTCGTCTTTTGTAAGGTGATTCTGCCTCGTGCGAGGTCTCACCTGGCATTCTCAGCGCTAAGCTCTGCCATTAGTCCTCCAGCATCCCTTTCTTTGGCGTCTTCGTCAAGCCTTTTCTGGATGAACGCGTTCATCTCCTTGACCTTCTGCAGAGCAACGTTTGTGCAATTCAGCAGAGCCAGCGGGTTTATTGTCGCTCCTCCGTACTTCGCAATCTGGCACAGTTCGCCGTGCTTGTTCATTGTGAGAATGACTTCTCCCTGCCTGACTTGCTCTTCAGCCAAGTTTGCATCCACCAAGAATATCTCCCCCTCAAAGTATGAAAATGTAACACAGAGCGGCTGGTGTAGGATCGACAACGGTATGGGTTCGCGCTCGCGCACACTGAGAATGGTCGCCTTCTCGCCTTCTACTTGTACATCTGGTCTTCGGAAGTGTTGTAAAGCAGCCATGACAGCTATGCACGATGCATCGATCAGCCCGCCGTCATGGTCGATGATGTGTACGTCGGCGCGGAGAGCGAAGCACTTTAAGCCTGCGATGATGCAAAGCGATTCGGTGTCAAGAGCGTTGGAGCGACGGATGGCTTTCTCGAGGATGCGCGAGAGGATGACTTCGGCATCTGTAGGACTAATTTTTCAGTCAGATATACCGAAGGTCTGGTAGGTATCTAGAACAACATACCGACCAACCTCAAAGGCTGGAGAAGCCATTGGAGAAAACTCCGTGACTATTTGAAAAATGCCATCAAACTTGCGCTCTGGTAATGGTGTCGTCACGTCTACTGATATGCGCGCAATCACCCTGAGAAGTGTTAGCTTGCGCATATGGCCTCCCAGTAAATTATGTACCTTGTCTTGCCTAATTGCACATCTGCGACACCATATTCTTCTCCGAATGTGAGCTCGAGTGGGCGGAAGGCGTCGAATGCGCGTCGGTCGATTCGTATCTGTTCCTGCAGCGCTTGCTTGATAAACTCGCGCTCATTTAGCGATATCTCAGCTTCTCGAGGCATCTTGAGCTTCTGCAGCAAATGCGTAAGGTTGTTGGTGAAATGGTAGTCGTTGTAGCAGCCATAGAAAATGCGGCGGCGGGGAATTGTAATCGCCGGCCCTCTAGCGCGATTTACGAGTTCAAGCTTCTGTGCACCAATTCTTCTACACATCACCTACTCACCACGTCAACCACGCGCAAGACTTCCGAAACCCGTGCCAACCCACAATACCGTTTAATATCAATAAAACGACACAATGACGACCGCCCACAGACCGACGTTCGATCCCGCGCGCGGCAAAGAAGCTCAGCGAGGACCCGCCTACCACCAGCGACTACTCCCAGCGCACACGACACTCAAGCATAGACAGCCGGGACAGGGCGGCGATGCGGATATACAGCGCGATCTTCGCGCCGAACTTCTCGAGGCCGAGGCGCGTCACATCGCGAAGAAGAATGGCACCTACGTTGAGCCTGAGGCAGCAGCAGAGTCTGGCAATGCGCACAAACGTCAGATCGACGCTGTACCGGCAGCCGAAGAGGGGGAGGAGGATGAAGCAGCTCAAAAACGGCGGCGAATAGAAGTCTTGGAAAAGTTCCGAGACGTGGACGCCGATGACAGCAGTAGTGAGAGCGAGAGCAGCGACGACGAGTAAGTGCGACCATTTATTTTCAATCAATCCGTTCACTAACGACATTCCAGCGACGAAGACGAAGAGGATGAAACCGCGGCCCTCATGCGCGAGCTAGAGAAGATCAAGAAGGAGCGCGCCGCAGCCAAAGCCAAAGAGGAGGCAGAACGCGCCGCAGAAGAGGAGCAACAACGCGAAATCGATGTCGCCCGAGGCAACCCCTTGCTCAACGCGAAAGACTTCACCATGAAGCGACGATGGGACGACGATGTCGTATTCAAGAACCAAGCACGCGGTACCGAAGACAGGAACAAGAAGAAGGAATTCATCAACGACATGCTGCGGTCCGACTTCCACAAGAAATTCATGGTATGTGCCCCTTCATTGCTCCAGTATACTTCTAACACCACGCGACAGTCTAAATATATCCGATGAGATCATCACCTTCAGCTATTCGTCCTTTCCGATTCTCGATTATCATGCATTGCACTGCTGGCGTTAGACACCTTGGCGTACAGGTTCTGGATCTTTCAGATGGGCTTTAGGGAGTGTGGGATACCCCAGATCTTGGCGGGCATGGAGTAGCCAGTGACGGAACAGCACCTAGCGGGACTCTTATCGCTATCATGGATCAGCGGCGACGACCACCATTTCGGGATGTCAGCTTTATCTCTGGCCTCAATCTTTACAACAAATCGATCCAATGAGTGCCGACCTACAAGTCCTGATCACGCATTCAAGGCGCGAAAAAGGAACCATCGTGAAGTTGAACCCGACGGCTCGTTCGACCCAAAAGTATTCAAGGGCCTATCAAAAGCAACCCCGGTATCGTAAACTCGCATAGCATCGACAGCTGCACGTAGGATTCAGTTTAGCCATTATCTCCTCCGACCCACATAAGCGGAACTTAGCGTACTACAAGGAATACCAAGCACACCTTGGCCGGGTCTTCCACCCTCTTATAGAGCTTCTGATCGCATGATCTACGCCTCCCCCAGCAAGGTGACCTCATAAGGCTTTTTGACCTCTTAGCACATGCCAATTATGCTGGGGCTAGCACACGGCAGATAGTAAAGGAAGGGTGCATGAACGATATATAGTCCACGATGGATCTCCGCGTATTCGTGGTAACATAACACTATCTACTACCTACCGTCCATACTTTCCGATATCGAGTGATATCAACCTGAACATAAACCCAAACGCTCAAAGTTATCACATAATCGCAAGCAAACATGGCAGGCTATGGAAACCGCACAGCCCCAGACTACACCGCAGAAGACCTCCAAGACCAACACAGCACCACACGTCTCGGTCTCGTAGACTCTCACACCCCATACCATAACCCCCACGAAAAACACGGCTCAGGTATAACAGGTGGCGCAGGATTTGGTAATTCCACCCTCCCCTTCCCTCTTCTCATCGTCCCCCAGCAAACGCTCCCCCACACACACGCCTAACATCCCTAACACCTACCCAGGAAACAAGCGCTCCTCGTCCACTCCCGACACCGACACCTCTGAATTCCGTTTCGGCAGCCACTCCGACACAGCGCCTTATTCCAATGGGACAGCCATGGGCAGCGGATCTACAGGCGGCGCAGGGTATGGGAATAAGACGGGGGAGATGAGCGGACCGGAGCCAGATTCTCTCTTGGGGAAGGTAGTGGAGAAGGTGGGGGGTATGGTCAAGAACGATAAGATCGAGGCGAAGGGGAGGGGCATGAGGGAGAAGGAGGGATTTGGGAGGGTGGTTGAGTGAGTTGACTGGGCAATGGAATGCAGCTGCGTGTGCTTTCTCAACGAAGCTTCGATTCTTTTCGCACCGGAACACAGACTTCCAGGGTTTTGCTTGATCGCTAATCGCTTTTTTATTCATACTATATCACTATTCCAAGTACATGAGTGAGACAAAAGGAGTGTAGACATCGCTATACAGAGCCAACCCCTGAACCAAGTCCATAAAAAACCTAAAATGAGTGTAGTAAGAAATCCAAAGCGGTACAAACATCGAGTGAACTTGCTTTCTTCCAAAACCGAAACTAGAGTCCAATGCCCGGAAGTTGAACGATGGGTGTTGCGACTGGTGCAACAATGGAGAGTACTGGGTTCAGGATGGGTGTTGCCGCTGGTGCAGCGACGGAGAGTACTGGGTTGAGGATGGGTGTTGCCGCTGGCACTACGACAGAAAGCACTGGGTTTAGGATGGGTGTAGCCACTGGAACTACGACGGAGAGGATGGGTGTCGCCACTGGTACTACGGCGGAGAGTACTGGTTCAAGGATGGGTGTTGCCACTGGTAGAACGACTGAGGCCACGCCGGAAACCACAGGCGCTACGACTGAAACCACACCGGAGACCACAGGCGCTACGACGGAGACGACATCGGAAACCACGGGTGCTACGATGGAAACCACGGGTGGGACGACAGCGGAGACGACTGGTGGAATAGCGGAAACCACACCAGAGATGACTGGTGGAATGGCAGACACCACAGGCGGTATGGCAGAAACCACGGGTGGGATGATAGGTGGAAGTGCAGACACCACGGGTGGAATGGTTGGAGTAGTTGGTGTAGTAGGAGCAACACATTTGAGTCCGCTGACCTTGATCTTGGAGCCGATTCCAGAGGAAGTAGTGCAGCACTTGATTGTGCCGCCGCAAGGGGTACCGAAAATCTGAACAGTGCCGAGGATATTGCCGAGGAGAGTGTTGATGATGTTGAACAGTCCACCGGGCAGGCAGATCTGCTTGAAGCTTCCAGCAGGGCATGTTGGAGCTGCCCTCGGCTCAAGCTCCATGGTAGGCACTGCTGAGACAGTGGCTACCACAGTGAAGACGGAGAGGATGGTGGAAGGCTTCATCTTGGTGTTGGGATGAAGAGGAGGTTTGGGTTGTAAAAGATGATGGGATGGTGAGAAGAAAGGTGCTCAGTAGTTGTGATGCTGTGAGTTGTTCTGATGATGATAATGGCTATTGGGGGAAGGGTGGTAGGTCTTATATAGACACTTCAGCCTGCTCAGGTGAAGCGCACCCTCTGTCTTCTGCTTTCATGGCTTGTCGCTTCCCCCGATCGAGATCATGTCTGCCCAGGCTTCACCAAGCATAGCTGAGCTCACTCCAGCTCGTCTGGATGCAAGAAGCCCCTCGGTAAAACGTACGAAACTTGGCACTGATGGTGGTTGAGGTCATCGTGAGTCTCAAGCGCAAGCCTCGTTCCAAGATGTCACTTCGTCCATCGTATGATAATGGTGTTCTCGATGATAAGAGAGTACGCCACAGTTCGAAGCGAACCTTAGGGTGACGGTCTGAAGTTGTGATACCAAACTCCTCTAGGTGGAGAGCTCACTGTCTCCAGTAGTCTGCATGAGAGATGGAACTAATCCAGTTCTGTCTACGATCAGCGCAAACATAGCGGCAAATCCGCTGTCACTTGAAGCCACTTCTACCAAGACCTCCTGTGGCAACAATCACATTCGGACGTGACAGTTGCTATAATCACGTGCGCTTGCTGTTTCTAGACATCCTCCGGCGCTTGATCTTGATTCTACGCCTGATTAGGGTGGGTACTGTTACTTTCCTGGCGTGCGGCTGCAGGTTTGCGGGACAACCAGGGAAAGTACGCTCCGGGCAAAAGCAAAAGGGACTTAGTGAAAGGTACCAAGATACATGAGGCTGGGGGAACTAGTGTAGGATCAACAGCATCTAGCTCAAAGCTCGTGTGTTATCGCGCTTAAAACGCGTGTATTGAGCCACTGACGATACAGTGCCAAAGACACCCTTAGTGGCATCGTTCACCAAGGTCCAGGAGTGTAGACGCCCATCTAGAGCTGACCCTTCCCCTCTAACTACACTGCTCGGCTATATCAAGTTTTCATATGCTGATCTTTGGGCTCCACGTTCTCTTGAATCATAACAACTCCACGGGGTAGGTATGGCCGAGACCTGGAGTTCTTGGCAACATCTGTGGGTCACTGCTCCGTGATTGCTTTTATTGGTACGGACATTTCGTCTCGAACTGTGATGAACGGGTCGAATTGTGGATGTATCTGCGCATCGACTGGCGGTGTGTCGATGGGTTCAGTAGACGTGTATCCAGGTGCTCAGGCACTTGTTACCTCTTCGCGGCCGTAAAATTCGTGAGTTGTGTAGCTCTGCAGTGAGAACAAACGTCACAGGCGTGGCGAGACTAAAGAAGGGTCGGGTCGATAGCGTACCGACCCTTCTCGTTTCCATGCCTCGCCCGTCTTCCTCGGGCAGCGAGACCGTCGCCCACTCCCTATCCTGTCTTTCCCCTCTTAGACATCTGCGCCACACATCCCCCTAGTTGCATCCCCGCACGCTCTAGTGTATGCACTACCGTTTTCCGCTGCGTGATATGGTCAGACGGTATAGCGCAGGAAATAGCAAACCTAAGCGGACCTCACTCTTCAACACAATGAAGCCTGACGTTCTGGACCTCGGGATGGTTCTCGACGTCGCTCTCGCCGGACCCAGGATATCGGAACCGAAGCACAGCCCTGCGCTCAATTATTTCGGAAAAGCAAAATGGTTTTGCATGAACTATCGGCCTTGGATACCTCCAGCTTAGCTGCACTGCCGTTGTTGTACCTTGCTTCCTCGCGGGTGGTGACGTCTTTACAGGGCTTATCCTCGGGCCAGCCCCTTCCGCGTAACGGAACCCGCTGTCAAGGCAGTGACGGGTTTCGCTCCTTCCGAAGTGTGCTCGAACGTCGTTCAGCATGGCTGGGTATTGACACGACGGCTTGGTAGCCGGAATACCAGACCATATATAATCTCTCTTGTCATGGCAATAGTAGCTTCTGTAATAGACCGATTGACCAAGCTGTCAGCTGTCACATTGTAACAAGTGTAGGTTCGGAACGGTGTTGTTAGCCGAGCGAGGCCGACGTTAGTTTGACCTTGCGCATCTGAGGCTATCCCCTCACTCAGACTACCGCAAGAGGATACGTGATGAAAGAGAAGCCTGGCTGGTTAAATTCAGTGTAAGGGGCTTGCACGTCCAGTTTTCCGTATTGGAGCTTCCAACGAGTATGTATCCCATCTAATCGCCTGTTCCTTCACATACGACCATAGGACAATGAGAATTAGGCTTCCCGTCCGCTCAGCCATATACAAGCATTGTACCGGCGGATTAGTAGTTAGGTGGGTGACCACTAGCGAATCCCCGCTGTTGTATGTTTTTGCTCTTTTTGACATGATGATATTTTTTTGGACCCATGCCGAACAGGGGAAGGCGCCGGCGACGAGGTGGAGACACCGAGGTAGCTGGCCTCCAGCTGGATTGGCTTATCGAGTACGGACGCGAGTGGGTAATGAGGAACGCAGGTAACAGGCGGAGAGTAGGTTGTATTTTGCAGCTGAAGCTGTCTTAATTAAGAAACACGCAAGGCTACTACGCCTTGAAACAGAAGGAATCGATCTTGCGAAGTTGTCAGCAATGCTACTATGTAGAGAAAGTGGTAAAAGTACCATTGACAAGATCGTTGAGGTATCTTTGAACGCCGTAACCCATTTTTGTCTACATCGCGGCGCCTGAGGATGCTGCCGCGACGCCCAAACTCCATGCTTCTTCCCATGCTATCCCGTGTATACTCTTTCGTGTAGCCGAGCTCCAGATATTCCTGTAGATTCTCCCAAAACGCAGGCGCGCTTGACGGCGCGTAGAGCAGCAGTCCAAGCCACCTTAATGATTCCTGAAATTCTTCTTCTGGTAGAACAGATCCGTCCTACTACTACCCAGATTTATAATCTTCGGACATCCATCCCGGTCCTTCTCCAGGCGCGTACACTCGAAGCAGTAGAAGGCGTCTGAGATACCCTCGCCACCGCATACAACGCACTTGTTTTGGTAGTTGCCGAAGGAGCATTCGTCGCAGATGCGGGCGAGGGTGGTCGGGCGCACGTAGGAATCGCATACGGGGCATTTGCCGTCACACTTGTCGCATAGGCGGCCGATGGAGATGCCGGACTGCTTGCGGCACATGACGAGATCGCTGCGACAGGTGTTAGTATGCGCGACTCTTAGAGGTGAGAGGGTACTTACGGATGATGGCGAGACATGGCGAAAGGTTATGAAGGGGGTGACGAATATGGACGCGTTTAATATCGCAGGTTCAATAAAGCTTGGTGTCTCGTCGTGACGGGGGCGTTGGTATGGTGGTGGCGCGTGACAGTGAGACAGAAAGTCGGTCGTGAAAGTCAGCTTCGGTGGTCCGCTGCTAGCGTGAACTGAACCCATGCTCCGTGCACGAAGCTTCCATCGCGAGATCCCTGGGCCACCTATACCAATGACATCCACGCGTGCTTCTCTGATACTGCTTAGCACATATTAGAAGCGTTCAGAAACCCCATAGACGACGCGCGATACTGCTATGGACGGACCCATTGCATCGGCTGTAGTCCTCCCGGATGAACTATCACTGCCAGCCTCACCCCCGGCAAACGGCCACAAGAGACGACAAGAATCACTATCAGAAGACACCTCAAAGCGACCGCGACTCGAGAAGGATACTGCAACCCAAGAAAGACGTGATTCTACCACCAAGGACACAAAAGATGACAAGCCCGCCCCTGTGCGACGCGAGAGAGGACGAGAGCGCAGATTATTTGGCGCCGCCTTAGGTGCACTCTCACAGAACTCTGCTACTACAGGACAGAAACGTCGCGCCGAGATTGAGAAGCGACAGCTAGCTCAGCGCAAACAGGACGACCAGGAGAGCGAACAGAGGAAGGCAGAGCGTGCAGCCAGGCGCAAAGAGCAACGATGGAAGGAGCACAAGCTTCTCGAGAGGGATATGGTATGTCTTGACAGTCTACACTTGACGCTCTGGCTAGGTGCTTACAATTCATAGATGCGGGCACGTCACGCAAATCTACTCGCCATGGCGCACTTCCTCCAGACCAAGTCAGAGCCACACCTCGTACGTCGCCTTCCATCTGATCACCCTGGTTCACAGCTGATCTTGCTCACAGTACTACAAACCCTGGGAAACCAGTCCCGACGAAGAAGACCGCATACGTGACCAAATAGCCGAAGCCGAAGAAACCGTCAAACGAGAGATAGAAGAGTACGAGGCTCGCCAACAACCGGATAATCTGCGGAGACGGCGTGCATCCGAGGAAACAAAGGGTGATGCAGAGGGTGCAGAAACCGGTAAGAACCATGATGCACATGCACCTCGAGAGACAACCACCACCAATGGCGAGACTAATGGTAGCGCCATCTCCCCCAAGGACCTGGACATGAAGGACCACCAGCCCGATACCCCTGACACCAATGCAAAAGTCGAGCGCGCCACTGAGGACATACAGAATAGCCACGGTGCAACTCACGAGACCGTAGCTGACACAACCATGAAGGAAGATGACGACGAGAACGGAGAGGATGTTGTCGAGGAAGCCGCCGAGGACACCGTCATCTATTGAGGATCACCCGGAAGCCCACACCTTCTTGCCTTTACCCAGGACCGGCCCGATAGATCGCTGTTGGCGAGTCTCGATTGAAGTCGTTCGCAATATCGACCTTGGTCCTGTCGCAACTTCTGCCAACCAGCCCCGTTGACTTACGGAGTCTGGTCTTTCCACCTTGGATATGCGACCGTAGTATTATCAAAGTCCTAGCAGCGATAGTCACAACGCTTCGCAAATTAATCAAAATATGGTCAATTGTGTCACGGCTCCTGCCATGTCACAGGTGCTGCATTATCCGTCGACTATGCATCCAGGGTACAGCTTGTGTATGCGCTCCGGGCAGCACTGTGCTCCTTCCGAATATCTGGGTCACGCATAATCTTCTGCATATACCATTCCGGCACGGACGCCGGCAAACAACAGCTTACAG